CACTGGGAAGGGCCCTGAGAAACTCGAACTGTGTATTCAGTAAATTGTGGTAGAAGCTGCCCAAGTAGTTTTGAAACCTGCAGATTCCAGGGTTATGTGATTTTACTTGTCAGTATGCAGATGGAAATGACAGAAACCATGAAACGGGGGTTTAAAGGAAGGCTCTTGGGACAAGCAGCCAGTGTGAGCATAGGGTAAAGGCAGGATGTATCTGGGCTCCGGGGACCACAGCATTGCAGTCCTTCGCAGACATAGGAAATGTCTGAGCTGCTCCTCCATTGCTGATTTGAGCAAGTCTGTTTCTTTGTCTCCTTCACAGGAAATAAGGATGTAGACAATCAGAATCCTGTATGTCACAGCTATGCTACCTGGAGAGAGTCCCAGATCCAAAATCCCTGGAAAGATTGACTGACCTAGCTCAACCAGTTAGGGTTAGAGGCCCAGGGATTTATACCAAATGGCTTCTAGGGAGGTATTTCTGGGGAAAGGTCATGGAGCCACAAAAGCCGCAAAACAACGTTTACGCTTTTTCAGTATTGGGAACGACCTCCTGCTTGGAGAACCAAATCCCAGTGGGATGCTGAAGATCGAGCTGCAAAAGCGCGCGCGCGCGCGCACACTCACTCACTCACTCACTCACTCACTCACTCACTCACTCACTCACTCACTCACTCACTCACTCCCCGGGCACACCATCCTCCCTGTCCCAGCCCATGTCAACTACAAATTACCTGGCGGCACCGCTACCCATAAAGAGAAGGACGACCACCTCCAGAACCTTCCTCCTCAGAGGTCAGGAACCACACTGTTCCGACCTGATCAGAGCCCACAAAATACCTCCTCACCTTCACTCACACTTAATATCCTGGGAAAACTGATCTGAAAACCTACCGATTCAGTCTCAGATAGAAAGAATCCAGGTCTCAAGATGGCGCAGCTCAGCACCCACGACACTTTGCAGGAGTCCCACACTAATGACAGACTGATGGGTGTCCCACACTGGGCATGTGCGCTACATCCCTAGTGTGCCCCAGGAGGGCTTCCCCACCTGCTCACGGGCCCCTCCAGGGATTCCCAAATCTGCCCACCGCCCTCTGTGGGCATTTCTGCTGCCTCCATGATCCAGTTACCTCAAAAACAACACTGAGAATTGCCCCATGTTATTCGCCTCCTCCTCTCCATGGCCCACCATCCACCCTTCTCCCAGTACCAACTGACTTCACTCATTTTTGGAGTATAAAAACAAAGCAAAACTGGAGGAATAAAATAGCAGCAGACTCACAAGACTCTGAGAAGGGGCAGGCGGGTACCAAAGAGGAGGGGTTGGGGAGGGAGAAGGGAATTAAGGGGCACTATAATTCCCAATCACAATGTAGGTAGGTCATGGGGAAGGCAGTGCAACACAGAGAAGACAAGTAATTATCCAAAAAATAATAAAAGGAATGCTCCTAAAAAAGGAAGGTCATGAGTATTCAGTGCAAATGAACTACTACAAAATGTCAGAATACCAAAAAGAGAATAGTTAAAATCCTAAAGCAAGAAAAAAGAAAAGAAAAGGTGGCAGATAAACTCAAAAGAACATGTACAGGAAATTTGGACAGACAAGAAACACATATGGATCACAAAATAACGTTCAACATGTTGCTTTGCAAATTAAAACTGCAAGGAGATGCTGCTACACACCTTTTATAATAGCTAAATTAAAAAGACAATCCCAAGTGTTTGTGAGGTTGTGGAATACTGGAACCTTCATATACTGCTGGTGGCAACACATTTTGGTTGTTTGGCACTACAGCTATAAAAAACAAAACCTACAATAAATTAAAAAGCATTCATTGGACAAGCAGAGCAAGATAAAGTATCTGTGGTGGGCGTGAGTTAAGACAGAAGACAATATTAAAAGCACAAAGACGGTTCTGATGAGAAGGACACAAGGGCTCTCTCTGTGTGTGGGTTGAAAACTAGCTGCACCAGGAACTAGAGGTTTGACCTTGAATAAGATACTTCTTATCCTCAGTTACCTCATCAATAAAATTTGGATAATTCAGCAGATAGCCGTAGGGGCTTCTGAGTGAGATCTGTGACTGTCAGGCCAATGGGAAGGTTTTGTAGATGAAAAGACTTGTGATGGCTCTCTCTTCTCCTCTGAGTGACTTTGAAGAACAGCGTGTTTGCAGGGGAATGTTGTAGCGTTTTACCATGGGGCTTGTGGTTTGAGTTCTTTGCTCTCAGTCAACTGTCCCAAGTGGCCTCAGTACTCGTTATATTTTTCTGTAGCATGACAACAAGCATGTTACTAATTTGAAATGTTTCTTATCAATGATTCCAGTGGGAAAACCATGGGAGGTCTGTGTGGTACATACTGGGAAATCCTTCCTTCAAGGAAAGAACAAAGCCTTTTAAGCCAACACTTTCAGAAGCTTTTACTCTGACACGACTTTTCTTTGGGGCATTAAACTTCGAACAACCTGAGGATGTTTTGCTTCTTAATGGAGTCAGATGTTGTCAATTTTGTGAAAACTCTTGACTTACCTTTCATGTGAGGATTAAATGAGACCATAAATGTATGGAACCTAACACAAAGTAGCGGCTCACAGATGGTACACACCCTGTAAGCGTGAGTTTTTATAATTCCTGTTATTATTAAACAACTTGATACCTGGAGTTCTTGTCCTAAGCATAGACAGCTCTGGGTTGGTCAGCCATGCAGGATCACACAGCACAGGTCAACATTATCTAGGCAATTAACAGAGCTGTGAATTCTCATTTCCTGCTTCAAGAAGAATATCAGCATAGCAACAGGAGCAGGTAGCTTTCAGAGTGACAGCACCATTGGGGGTAACTGGCAGGAAGATGGGTGCCTCCCAAAGTTTGAAGGGCTGCGAACCTGGAGCTACCCTTTTGGTCAGTGCCCTGTAAATAGTGTCTAATCTTAAAAGAGATGCAATCCACAAACAGTTGGACATGGGAAAGCCCAGCCCTCCATTACTCATAGCCTTGCAGTATCAGGAAAAGAGAAAAAGATGTTTTACACCCCAACTCATTTTACGAAGCTAGAAAAACCTTGACACCAAAGTCCAACAAGGAGAGTACATGACGTAAATGTATAGGCTAGGGTCACTCATAAGGACATACACAAAAATCCTGAACAAATTATTAGGGCACAGATTGATCATGACCAAATTGTATTTACCTTACAAATGCAAAGTTGGCTTAAACATAGAAACTTACCAATGTAATTCACCACATTAACAATTAATTGAGAAAATAAATCTTATCTCAGTAAATGCTCTGTTTGATGAAATTCAACATTTATTCAAGATGGACTAGTCTTAGCAAACTAGGAAGAGAACGACTTTACCCTAATAAAGTGTATCTACATAAAGTATAGTAAACATCACGGTGAAATGTTCCATTTCCGATCAGGGTAAGACAAGGATGTCCACTATCTTCAGTCCTGTTCAACACTGTACTGGGTGAGTCTGCCCAGTGCCGAACAATGAGAAAAGAAAATAAGAGACGTGAATGTTTAAAATGGCAGGGATAAAAGTGTTGTTACTCAAAGAAAAAAAAAATGAGTAAGGCCCACTTATTTGTGAGTGGGAGTGTGTAAAACACAGACCCTCCCTGTCAGCAGACGTCAGCCAGCAAGCTTTCACATTCTGTCCAGGTGAGCAGGGATGTCCAAGTGAAAACGGCTGACGTTACAGAGCACTTAGGCACAGGCCCAGGTGCTTCCTTAGACTGCACCTGGCCCGTCCCCTTCATCGGGGCACGGCAGGCTCGGCGTTATTGTCGTGGCTGTTTCCATTTTGAAGAGGACACGGAGGCCCGGAAAGCGCAGCACAGTCCGTGACCGGTGGGGAGGGAGATGCGCACCCGCTCGCGGCGCAGGCTCCTGAGCCCCCCGGGACCGCCCGCCCTCAGGAACGCCGCCCTGGGCTAGGGACTCCGGTGTCCCCTGCGGTTTCAAAGCCAGTGGTCTTGAAGGCACCCAGCGTGGCACAAGAGTTGGAATCTCGGCCCTGAGGGCTTGTGTCACCGCCGTGGGTGCAACGACGGGCAGGGCCTCTTCTGGGACCACCGCACCCCGGACCCTCAGGTGGCCGCGCCCAAACGGCTGAGGGCGGGGACAACGGGGACCCGTCGCGGCGCCCCCGGCTCGGGACCCGGGGATTCCAGGCAGGTCGCCTGGGGGCGCGCGCGAGCCGCACTCACACTCTCGCGCCTGCGGGTTGCGCATGCGTACCGGGTCCCGCAGCCGGTTGACTTCTGCGCGGTGGGCCCGGCGTGCGCCTGCGCCGTGTCCAAGGCGGGTGGTCCGCGAAGATGGCGGCCCGCGACCCTGGCCCCCTACTTCTGGGGTACGCGGCGCGCGGCGGGGGCTGCGGCGGGCGCCGTGGGGGCCGGGCTCGCGGCCACTCTGCTCCTCTGGGTCCTGGACGCCGAGGGAGCCCGATGGAGAGAGCCCGCCCCAGCCTGGGTCGGACCCCGTCTCTACTCCTTCCCCAAAGCCCTCGTCGCGGTGTGCGCGGAGCGCTGCGCCCTCGGCGGGTTCCAGCTCCGGGCCGGCTGCTTCCCGGCCCCCGCGGGGAGCGCTCGCGTGGGCGGGGTAGCGCGCAGGTTCCAGTCCTGCTGCTGTCGCTGCGCTGACCGGATTCCTGCGGCCCTTCCCCGAAGGGCGCGAACCCGGTTGCGCATGCAACCCCTGTGCTCCGCACCCTGTGAGGCGCTTGCCCCTCGATAGCGGGTCAGTAGAGAACCCTGCGGGCGCAGACCCGATGCGATGCCGCAGGGGATGCTGACACCTGCTCCTGCGTGCTGGGCCGCCCCAAGGGGGAACAGGGCCAGCGCCCTGCCGGTGCCGCACACCCCTCTGCCTCAGTGCTAGCAGGTCAGGAGTCCAGTGAACGATGGGCGGCCTTTTTGAAACACCTAGAAGGCTGTGTTTTGGTCGCACACTAACTCTTAAAACGTACTGAGAAGGTAGGTCCTTTCCCTTCAGTCATATCAGTCTGTAGTAATGACATGCACGCACTTTGAGGAGCAGAGAGTTGGACATTTGAGATGAAAGTCCAATAAGACCAGGTCCTTAATTTAATCGTAAGACAGGTGCAGTTTATCTTGACATAACTATACAACTGATAGGCAAAACCAGTATCTTGCCAGCCGTCTTTTCTCTGCCTTATAAGTAACTGCCAAAATGAAACCTCCTTTGTTGATTAGACTTTTGAGCCCGACCTTTGTGTATCTCGCTCCTGTCCCATACAACTTTTTTGTTCCTAATAAAAGTTACTTAACTATGTGTTATTTTTGTTTTTGCCCCCTTTTTTCATTTTTAGGTTCTGCAAAAAAGGCTCTCTTGAGACAATTTGAATTCCCTTTAACTCGAACAGAGACTAGATGTTATACTCATCATGTCTTGTCCTATGAACAATCAGTCAAAGTGGGTGCCCAGATGGGTTCTTGAACATATATCTAAAAGCAAGATAGTGGGTAGGTGGTTAGAAATAATGGCATTGGTGAAAGATATTTCCAAATTTAGAACAAGGAGGATTATTGATTATCTCAACCTTTTTCACATTCACCACACTTAGAAAATGTTTGAGTGGCTCACTTGATGAATGGACCTTGTCTGGCAGCCAGAGAACCTGACCCCTCCCAGCTGTCTGAGGCCAAGAGGATGTTTCTTGACAGGGGCTGGAGGCTCTGTCACAAATATTGCTTCTAACAAGCACCATTCATTCATTACCTCCACAAATATTTTTTAAGTGACTACCATTTGTCTGGCGCTGTGCTAAGCTTTGGGGATATATCCTTGACCAGAGTAGATCGTCCCTACCTCCAGGGCATTTTGAGCTGGAGAGGGGGTGGATTGACATAACAAATAAGTGAGAATGTATGATTACCATTAATGATAAGTGTTCTGAAGGAAAAGTGATTGCATGTTGGGTCAGCATAATTAAGGAACAGTAAAGAAGATCATGAGAGATTATAACTGGAGAACTTGAATTTGATTAGTGGGGCTTCTCTGAGAAAGCGGCCTGAAGTGTGGATGGCTGTTACCGAGGCAGGGAGTTGGATGGCTTGGAATATAGAGAACAGCAATCCAGAGAGTAAACATATTGCATCTTTGAGGCCCCAATGTGAAAAGTTTTGTCCCTGTAGGGAACTAAAAGAAGGCCAGAGTGGCAGGAGCAAGGGAGACTGTGATACGACGTGAGGCTGGTGAGGCAGGTGTGTAAGTCTGTGTGTTCTTGTGTCTTTACGGTAGACTCCTGCAATTAAGATGACCATCTCTTGATATTGAATGTCAGATTGGTTTCACGGTAGATTATCCCAGTTTACACTCCTACCATCACTACCTGTCCTTTCTCTCTTCCTCACCCGTAATGAGAATTACTGAGCAATTTAACAGATTTTTCTTATTAAAGTATCATTGGTATACAATCTTATGATGGTATCAATACACAACACAGTGGTTCAACATTCACTCCTATTATCAAGTTCTCACCCCACCATTGCGGTCACTGTCTATAAATATAGTAAGATGTTATAGAGTCATTAATTGTATTCTCTGTGCTGTATTACTGTCCCCCTGACCTACCTGCATTATGATTTCAAATTATTGTGCCTCTTAATCCCCTTCTCCCTATCATTCCTCCTGCCACCCCTCCCTTTTTGTAGCCACTAGTCCCTCCTTGGTGTCTATGAGTCTATTGCTATTTTGTTCCTTCTATTTTGTTTGTTGTTTTTTATTATGGTATCATTAATATGCAATCACATGAACAACATTGTGTTCACTGAAGTCCCCCTATATCAAGTTCCCACCACATACACCCCATTACAGTCACTGTCCATCAGCATAGTAAGATGCTATAGAGTTACTGCCTGTCTTCTCTGTGCTATACTGTCTTCCCCATGCGCCCCCTACATTATGTGTGCTAATGATAATGCCACTTAATCCCCTTATCCTTCCCTTCCCACCTATCCTCCCCAGTCCCTTTCCCTTTGGTAATTGTTGGTCCATTCTAGAGTTCTGTGAGTCTGCTGCTGTTTTCCTTCAGTTTTTTCTTTGTTGTTATACTCCACAGATGAGTGAAATCATTTGATACTTGTCTTTCTCTGCTTGGCTTATTTCACTGAGCATAATACCCTCTAGCTCCATCCATGTTGTTGCAAATGGTAGGATTTGTTTTCTTCTTTGACTGAATAATATTTCATTGTGTATATGTACCACATCTTTATCCATTCATCTACGGATAGACACTTAAGTTGCTTCCATTTCTTGGCTATTGTAAATAGTGCTGCAATAAACATAGTGGTGCATATGTGTTTTTGAATCTGGGCTCCTGCATTCTTAGTGTAAATTCCTAGGAGTGGAATTCCTGGGTCAAATGGTATTTCTATTTTTAGTTTTTTGGGGAACCTCCATACTGCTTTCCACAATGGTTGAACTAATTTACAATCCCACCAGCAGTGTAGGAGGGTTTCCCTTTCTCCACATCCTCGCCAGCATTTGTTGTTGTTTGTCTTTTGTATATTGGCCATCCTAACTGGTGTGAGGTGATATCTCATTGTGGTTTTAATTTGCATTTTTCTGATGTGGAGCATCTTTTCATGTGCCTGTTAGCCATCTGAATTTCTTCTTTGGAGAAGTGTCTATTCAGATTCTCTGCCCATTTTTAAATCAGATTATTTGCTTTTTGGTTGTTGAGGCATGTGAGCTCTTTATATATTTTGGATGTCAACACCTTATCAGATATGTCATTTATGAATATATTCTCCCATATTGAAGGATGCCTTTTTGTTCTGATGGTGTCCTTTGCTGTACTGAAGCTTTTCAGTTTGATATAGTCCCACTTGTTCATTTTTGCTTTTGTTTCCCTTGCCAGGGGAGATATGCTCATGAAAAGGTTGCTCATGTTTATATTCAAGAGAGTTTTGCCTATGTTTTCTTCTAAGAGTTTAATGGTTTCATGAATTAGATTCAGGTCTTTGATCCATTCTGAGTTTACTTTTGTGTATGGAGTTAAGACAGTAATCCAGTTTCATTCTCTTTCACATAGTTGTCCAGTTTTCCCAACACCAGTTGTTGAAGAGGCTGCCTTTTCCCTATTGTATATCCATGGCTCCTTTACCATATATTAATTGACCATATATGTATGGGTTTATATCTGGGCTGTCTGTTCTCTTCCATTGATCTGTGGGTCTGTGCCTGTGCCAGTACCATACCATTTTGATTACTGTGGCTTTATAGTAGACCTTGAAGTCAGGGAGCATAATCCCCCCAGCTTTGTTTTTCTTTCTCAGGATTCCTTTGGCTATTCGGGGTCTTTTGTGTTTCCATATGAATTTTAGAACTATTTGTTCTAGTTTATTGAAGAATGCTGTTGTTATTTTGATAGAGATTGCATTGAATCTGTAAATTGCTTTGGGCAAGATGGCCATTTTGACAATATTACTTCCTCCTATCCTTGACCATGGGATAGATTTCCATTTATTGGTGTCTTCTTTAATTTCTCTGAGTGTCTTGTAGTTTTCAGAGTAAAGGTCTTTCACCTTCTGAATTAGGTTTATTCCTAGGTACTTTATACTTTATGATGCAATTATAAATGGAGTTTTCTAGATTTCCTGCTAATTCATTGTTAGTATATAGGAATGCAACAGATTTCTGTGTATTTTGTATTCTGCAACTTTGCTAAATTCAGTTATTAGTTCTAATAGTTTTTTGGTGGAGTTTTAAGGTTTTTTTATGTATAATATCATGTCATATGCAAATAGAGTTGACTTGTTCCTTACCAATTTGGAAGCCTTTTATCTCTTGTGTTGTCTAATTACCATGGGTAGGACCTCCAATACTATGTATAATAAGAGGTGAGAGTGGGCCTCCTTGTCGCATTCCCAATCTTTGAGGAAAAGCTTTTAACTTTTCGCTATTATGATGTTGGCTGTGGGTTTTTCATATATGGTCTTTATTGTGTTGAGGTAGGTATGTCTATACCCATTTTGTTGAGAGTTTTATCATGGATGGGTGTTGAATTTTGTCTAATGCTTTTCCAGTATCTATTGAGATGATCATGAGATTTTTGTCCTTTTTGTTAATGTGGTGTATGATATTGATAGATTTACTAATCATACCATCCTTGCATCGCTGGAATAAATCCCACTTGGTCATGATGGATGATTTTTTTGATGTATTTTTGGATTCAGTTTGCTAATATTTTGTTGAAAATTTTTGCATCTATGTGTCAGGGATGTTTGTAATTTTATTTTTTGTGGTGTCTTTTTCTGGTTTTGGTATTAAGGTGATTAGTTTGGAAGTATTCCCTACTCTTCTACTTTTTGAAATACTTTAAGAAGGATGTGTATTAGCTCTTCTTTAAATGTTTTATAAAATTCAGCTGTTGAAGCCATCTGGGCCAAGGGTTTGGTTTTTAGGTAGTTTTTTATTACCAATTCAATTTCATTGCTGGTAATTGGTCTGCTCAGATTTTCTATTTTCTCCTGGGTCAGCCTCGGAAGGTTGTGTTTTTCTAGAAAGTTGTCCATTTCTTCTAGATTATCCAATTTGTTAGCATATAATTTTTCATAGTATTCTCTCATAATTCTTTGTATTTCTGTGGTGTCCATAGTGATTTTTCCATTCTCATTTCTGATTCTGTTTATGTGTGTGAACTCTCCTTTTTTTCTTGATAAGTCTGGCTAGGGGTTTATGTATTCTGTTTATTTTCTCAAAGAACCAGCTCCTTCTTTCATTGATTATTTCTATTGTTTTATTCTTCTCGACTTTATTTATTTCTGCTCTAATCTTTATTATGTCCCACCTTCTCCTGACTTTGGGCCTCATTTATTCTTCTTTTTCTAGTTTTGTTAATTGTGAGTTTAGACTGTTCATATGGGATTGTTCTTCTTTCTTGAGGTAGGCCTGTATTGCAATATACTTCCTTCTTAGCATGGCCTTTGCTGCATCCCACAGATTTTGCAGTGTTGTATTATTGTCATTTGTCTCCACATATTGCTTAATCTTTGTTTTTATTTGGTTATTGATCCATTGATTATTTAGGAGCATGTTGTTAAGCCTCCAAGTGTTTGTGGGCTTTTTCATTTTCTTTGTGCAATTTATTTCTAGTTTTATACCTTTGTGGCCTGAGAAGCTGGTTGGTACAATTTCAATCTTTTTGAATTTACTGAGGCTCTTTTTATGGCCTAGTATATGATCTATTCTTGAAAATGTTCCATGTGCACTCAAAAAGAATGTGTACCCTGCTGCTTTTGGATGGAGTGTTCTGTAAATGTCTACTAGGTCCATCTGTTCTAATGTGTTGTTCAGTGCCTCTCTCTGTCTCCTTACTTATTTTCTGTCTGGTTGATCTGTGCTTTGGAATGAGTAATGTGTTGAAGACTCCTAAAATGAATGCATTGCATTCTATTTCCCCCTTTAATTCTG